ACTGGTGTTTCAAAATGCTGCACATAACCCCCAAAAAAGTCTGAAACCAAATCTCATCTGTTTGTCCCCATTGAGTGTATGCATCCTGCTAACTTTCTGTGCTGGTGACAGTAAGCCAAATAAGCAGACATTGGCAGTAATAGAAACCTTAAATTAACAAAACAAGACAAAGGAAAGTGAGTCCTTTGAACTCCATGAGAGAACACCAGTGATACCTTGTCTCAGAGATCTACTTGGTGATGAAATTATAAGGTTGCTGTACACTTTATGAACCAGATCCTATGCTGGGTTAAATGTTTGTTTATCCTTGGAGATGTGTTCAATACCAATTTTTTCTTTATAAATAAACCAAACAGGTCTCTGGATTGCCAGTAAATAGGTGTGAATTTTGCCTTAAAGCAAACAATTAAAGCAATTATTAGGAAAGTACATTTGTGCCCACATCAAGTTTTGTCTTGCCTCAAACCTTGTCCTATTCACTCTCTGAACACTGATGGACCACCCAAGCACCTTGGCCAGAGGCCCAGCTCCACACCCTGGTGCCTTGGCTGGCCACCAAAGAACAGCAGGGGCTACCAACCCCAGCAAACCACAGAGGCAGGAGAAAGTGCAAGCCCAGGAATGGGAGCGTGTTTGTACTTGTGAGCAGCATTAGCTTGTGATGCCCTTGGGACAACCTTGTCTCATTAAGAGGTGAGCAATATTACAGAACAGTTGATGCCAGCTGTCATATTTAAAAGGTAATTGTGCAAGGCTTTACATTAAGAGGAGGAAATGAGTGTTTGAGGAGGCAGCGGTTGTGTTTAGGTGTTTGCACAGGTCCAGTTCACTGAGCATGGGCTCACAAGATAAACACTCCTTTAGTCCTGTCCTCCGGCTATCCTACCCCATGGTCCCAAAGTCCTGAGCACAATCCATGGATCTGCTACCAGCATCATGTCTCTCCTTAACATTCCTTCCCCGTGCTTGCCTGGGCTTCCTGCCTAGTGTCCTTCCCCGCGCTCAGCTCCCCTGGGACAGGTCAGCCAGCCCGACTGCCCCCGACTGCCTTGGCCTGCGGGTTTTCTAGTCCTCAGGCTCCTGCTTCCTGGTGTGGTGAGCACAGTGAGCCCCTGCCAGCACAGTATGTGGGGTGCTGCCAGGGTGTGTTTTGCCCTGGGATGCTGAGCAGCTGCCAGCAAGTGAGCTCACTGCTTGGCACCTTAATGGGGAGATATGCCTTCAGTCTCCGCTCTGCTTGCCCAGGTTGCTAGCCCTTTAGAGCCTTCCTCATCAGCTTAGAGAACTGAGCAAATAAGCTCTCTGATCCTCCCTGGCCTTAGGGCATATAAGGCTGCAAACGGCAAATGGTAAATCCTTCTGCAGCTATCTTGCCACTGTCCCTTTCTGGCCTGGTACCAACTCCCCTTCTCCCAGTCCTCGGTGAGCATTACTCAGTTTGCTTTACTTGGAGGACTGCCACATAGCTGGAAGCAAGCATCCCTGGGGCTGGTCCGGATCCCTCGGAAAACAGTAACCAACTGTCAGCTCAGAGAACAGCTCTACTGGCTGAAGTTACGGATGTTGCTGAGACAAGTGTAAGTCGTCAAACCTTCCCAACGAGTTACTGCAGGAGACTGTTGGATTTCATATCATACTTTCCCATTTTGATACTTGAATATGGAAACTAAATTCCTGTGCTTTCTGCTGTCTGAGCTGGACAGTGCTAGCTTTACAGCAGTGGGATCAATTGCACTTTGCCAAGCACACTCCAGCTTTCTTGTTCTCTCTCGCTAGTGAAGCGGACAGGCAATAGCTGTGACTCATGCCAGCTGATGAAATGTAAGTGCTGTCTAAAAACCACAGGCTCATTATCTACCATTATTGGTAATGATTTGTGGTGGAAAAGGAGATGACTTTTGAAGGGATGTGAATGGAGTTTAAATTAAATGCTTCCTATCGTTGGTTCCTGTACCTGTGTAAAGAGAAGGAGCCCCCATGCCGTTCTGCTCTGCACCACCTTCGGTAGTTTCTTCTCGGCTGGAGAGCAAGAGCCCCGTGGGTCTGATGGGTGCAGTGAGGCCAGCTCCTTCCCCAGGGGTGACCGTGGCTCTTACATCAGCTTTGTCACCCTTTTCCTCGCTTTGCATGAGTGAGGAGGTAGGAAAGAGGAGAGAGAAGGGAAGGAATACACCATGGCCACCTCTGTAGTTTATGCAGTTGTGTGTGTTAAAACACAAGACACAACAGCAGTGGAGATTGCTTTAAAATTACGGAGGAGTCAGTAATCCCCGGTTGATGACTGTATTCTGTGAAATGGGTCTCATGAAAAGCCCTGTGAGGGACAGACCATGAGGTCTTGTTTCAGTGGCAGTAAGCATGGGAAGGGGAACGCGCTGTCCCTCCAGAGTTAGGGATTATCTCCAGAAACTGAGTCCAGCCCTTGCACTTCAACACCTCCAGCTGTAATGAGCTTTGAGGGGTGACCTAAAACCTTAGTTCACTGACCTGGTTGAACAGAGCTGTAAGATCTGACTTTAGCACCGCCTACGAGCTCCTACAAGGCCTTAACCCCAATAACAAAAATTAACGTTTCTCATATCAGAGACTTTTAACCTTGTGGAGGAAGGGGTCGCCAGATACAAACAGAAGCTGATGGTATGGAAACTTACTGGTGAGGATAGTCAGTCCTTCACGTAATTAATCTCAGGAATTGAATTGTTTCGACCTTTATTTCAAGACAAGTGCATGTACATGTATATATGTAGGTCAGTCTAGTTCAGCCTGAAAGCGCAGAGGAATCAGTGTGTGAAATGCCCTCTTCTGCTCTAAACAAGAAGAAAGGGTGCACCCTTCTGAGGTACAAATCCATTTGTGTTGTTTAGGCTTAATCTTTCTTGCTGTCCTGTGCACCCCTGTCCACACCACTGACACGGCCTGCCCTGTCTGTGTTAGCCCACGCTGGGAAGCACCAGCCCTGCATGCCCTTGGGGAGAGCTGAAACTGAAGCCAAACTGTAAAAAAAAGAAAGTATGTGAAAATTTCATATAGTTTTCATACCAGTGAAAATGTCTGCTCAAACACAGTGAATGTATAATTCACCAGCCCCCCCACTCTCAAGGGACACTGCAAGCCCAAAGGTTATAAAGGAAAGTTTTATTAGCTTTTAGGAAGGAAAACACATTCTCAGTTCAGCTGGGAAGTGTGACAATCCCCAGCTTGGGGGCAGGGTGCAGCTGCCTTCGGTCCTGGTGGCGGGCAGAGTGGCCAGAGGTAAAAGCCCAAAATGCCCCTTGCAGCTGGGGAGGAGCATCCTGTGGGTGCAAGTCAGCCCACAGCTTCTCAGTCCTGAGATGCGAAAAAGCTGCTTCTCAGCACTTCAGCCACAGAGGTTTCCCCTGGGGCTGTGGCCTGGCCCCAGGTAGGAAAGTTCATAAAACCTGCCAACAATAGCATAAAGCATATGGAAAAGCTCACCAAGGCCTGGAAGATTTCCTTAGCTGCCTTTGGCACCTGGGCCCACAGGAGTGCTCAGCCAGGAGCGGGCCGGCCCGGGAGCCGAGGCAGGCGGCAGCACAGTGCCTGCGTAGCAGGAATGCTCCAGCGCATTGGGAGTATCTGCAAAGAGCTTAGTGCTGACAACCAGAAGTCTGAACCCTTCCCAGTGTTTCTAAGAAATCTGCAGTAACATTCTTATGCCTATAGTATAAATACATAAATACTTTTAACAAAAGACTTTGGAGTGTACAGCCAGCAGTGAGATGCTGAAATGTTGCTGGAGTTCATTGGGAGCCAGGTAGTCAACTTGCCCTTGAAATCTGCCCCACTTCAACCAAAAATACAACAGTCGCTGGCTGTGCTCAGGTCACATGCTGCCTGCAGTGCAGGCAGGGCAGGACTTGTCCTCCGCAGTCACAAGCTGTAACGAGAAGAGGGATGCGCAGCCCAGGATCACTGAGAGCAGTCTGACTTCAGCAGGAGCCAGGCAGGGTGCGCATGGGTGCACAGGCGCATCATGAAGGTCGTGCCTGTGAATCTCCCTGTGGTGCATACCTGTATGACAAAGTCTACTGCGAGCTCACGGGAACCATCTGAGTCCTCCCAGAGGAAAGGATGCGCAGACCTGCAGGTTTCACTTGGTCCATTAGAGAGAACCCACCAAGTCCAGAGTCTTCATGTTTTTCCAAATTTTTATGTGCCTGGATCATTTTTGGGTCAAGCCAGTCTGTGTGTGTGTGCTTGAAGGAGATTATCCTTCAACTTAACACCTCCAAGAGCTGGTGTCAAGATGTAAATGTCCCACCAGATATTCCCTTGGCTCAGGCTTCAGTAGTCTGCAGATAGCTGGAACAGCCAGTGGGCCTCCGCTCTTAAAAGCTGCTCCTAAAAACCTCATAGTTGCTGCAGGACCTGTGTTTCTGCTGTCCAGTGCACTCCTGTTAGTTCATTTCAAAATACCACCTTCCTTTTGTGGCCTTTACCTGTCAGAGAGCATTTATCTGCATCACAGCAAAGGAAGTCCCTTGCCGCCTCTTCCCTGTCTCCTGCCTTGCCAGGAAAAGGGCTGTTGAGCAGATCTGTTCTCCTCCTTCTCCAAATGGCTTCAAGACACTTGAGGTATCTTCCTGATTTACCAAACTTTTATTTTAGCAAATATACAGCGCATTTGTACTATATACAGATACTGTCAAGTAAACAGAGAAACCCAGGGTTTCTCTGAATATGAGCTAAGCTTAGGCGACTTTCTTTGGCTTTCATTTCTGTTCTCCTCAAGGGCTCCATGCATCCATTTCTCCAGTGTTAGAAAGATCCATCCTAGGTAGCAAAACAGCTGCACAGAGCCCCAAAGAGATGAACACGGCACACACTATATAAAGCCCATTTGCACTGTGATTTATCTGCACTCCAGCTGAGGCTTTCCACAGCCCCAAGGAAGGAGGCTGGAGCAGTCTGCCTGCACGAGTACAGCCTGTGAGAACAAACCTCCCACATGCAAATGGATTGGTAGGAAAGGCTGTACTTTACATGTTACATTTCAAGGGACTTATTAATAACACAAGGCTAAACGACAAATCCTTGATGGTGGCGTTGGAGCTGGTCCACAGGGTGATGTTATCTTGAGCAAACAAGAAGAGCACTGTGGTGAAATCTACTGCACTGCCGCTGTTCTGGACAGTTTGCTCGCAGAGGGTCATTCTGCTCTTGTCCATCTTCTGCAGTGTCAGCTTCAGCGAGTCCTCCAGCTCAGGGAAAAAGATAAGACCCTTCAAGGACACTAGGTAGAGGCCATCACAGGTGATCATGATGGAACCATTTCTGATCTGAATAGAGCCTAATTCAGCAGTGAGATTCATGGCTACTCCTTTGATGCTTTTACCTGGAATGGAAGAAAGCAAAGATGATGCCATGATGACAAATGTCTTCTTGGAAATGGATTGTTTTATATGGACTGACTGCAGGAAAGGTGGAAAAATATAGGAAAGGAAGAGAGTGAATTAGAGAATAGGGCAGACCAGAGCTAGAATATCATCTGCTCTAGACAGGCATCATCTACAGTGGAAATTTCCAGGTTCCCACTCCTGAGCAAGCTGTGCCTTTTGGACTACAACTCCAGTTTATATGAATTATTCCTCCAAGTTTCTATTTATGCACTATTTATTTACTGTATGTCTTACTTAAAATACAGACATGTAAGTAAAGCATCTCTGTGAGTTTAGGAAGCACAGGTTCCTAAAAAGAACAGAAAAAAAAGACAGTAAATAAGAAGAGGAAAAAGTGTTCAGAGCTGGAAGGAAGAGAAAAAGTGCTTTCTCTGGAGATGCTGGTAACATAAGTCCTTGTCTTTGGGTTGTTTTGTTTTGTTTTTTTAACAGCAGACAGGATAAAAGAGCAGCATAGAGACAGAAATGGAAGAAACAAACGAATACAGAGCAGATCCGGGAGAAATTAAACCAGAACTTAGCATGAAAGGTTTTCTCTTGGAACGAGCAGTAACAATTCCCAGGGCTATGCTGGAAATGTTTCCCTGCTGTGCTCCTGGGTTTTCGGCACACCAGCTGAAACCCCTGGGATGTCACCAGAAGGTCTCCTGGCAGACAACACAGCCCCTCTGGGCTGAGGCCAAATTTCTCAAGCTTTTTCTCTAGGAATGTGGGTTTCTGTTAGGTTGGACTCATTGCTACCTTACAATATTAACTGAAAGTAAAACTGTCAACAATATTTTTAGTAAGATTTAAGAACTTTAGTATTTGCTTCTATCGTTGAGGTATGTCATTGGACAAAACATCCAACGTAGTTGGCATGCAGAGCGCTGCTATTTCTGCTACCGTCTGTACGCTCGCTCGCTCTTCTCCAGGAAGTCATTTACATTTTTCATAAATCAGGAAATCATTGACTTGTTTCAGAAATACCCCAAGAGCATGCCACGTGTACTCAGTAAATTCCAAAAAATACTTTTCTCATTCTTTCGCAGAGTGAAAACTTGTTTTAGTAGATAGGTGAGGATTGCAGAAATCCACGCAGATTTTCAGGTTTTTTCTCCCGCTCTGGGAAAACCCTTTTGTTTGGTTTTGGCCCCTCTCCCCCCAGACAGCTCTCCTGGCACCTTCCTCCATCAGAAGAAATAGCCATTGCTGTGACACGAAGCTCTTAACGGCCTCCGGCATTTTAGGGGCCACCGGCTGCCACGGCGG